CTTGAGCTGTGGGAAGGCATGAGGCAGCCTTTCATCTGGAAAGACAGCACGAGCATATATCGTATCAGAGTTCTAGATGATGGTAGATGCTGGAGAGCACACCGTCCATTGACCCCGATTGAGGAACTTCCCTTCGACCCTGACGAGTGGCACTGGTCCCAGGAAGGTCGGATTAGGCAGGGGACAACAAAAAAACTAATGTTACATAATTTGAAAGTCAAATCAGTGTACCGATACTCCGTCCCAAATGAAGACTGCGGGAGCTAGTAGAGGACAGATGGTGTCAGCATCTTAATGTGGACCGCGGCCTGCTCAAACCCATCCAATGGTTCATGCACTACGGGGACAGACCCGCAAAGATTCCTGCCCTTCAGTAGCAAATAGCACATCGATGCCTGCCAACTAATGACTGGCTGATAGAGCATACCCGCTTGGAACAGCAAGAACGGGCATTACCTTGGTGCCACAGCTGCTTTCAGAGCTACCCAGGGAGAAAACGTGTATAGAACACACTTTCCTCCAATGTCCGGCATCGGTACTATTATGGAGGAGTTGGGACAGGATCTGGCGACACATTGTCCCCAATGCAGTATGGCCATGGGAATGGAGGGCCATATTACTAGGTCACTACTCCCCGATCCGGGGAAACACATTCGAGGAGAACATGTTCCATTTAGGCAGGCGGGTTGTTCTTTGGGCCATCTGGTGGAAAAGATGCATATTGGAAGTAGAAGCGGCACATGTGGAAGAAGGAGAAGTCAGGGAACAATTACGCTTGTTAATCCAACACGAAATTGCAGCTCAGTGGAAGGCAGCCAGGGATAAACTTGACCAAATGCATTCCTGGGGAGATATCAATCAGATTATCTCCCGGTTCAGTCAAGACTGGCTGGGAGGGGTGAGAGAAGGGTGGGTGGCTGAGATAAGATGGTCTGGGGATCGTCAGCAGGAAGGACAACTGCCTGAAGGACATCAGGCAGAGACAGCAAGAGACTATCAGCTGATCTTCCACGACTGGACCGACATAGATCCTGGCGATAGGTTACACCCCGTTCAAGAATTTGCAGACCCCTTCCCCCCCCACCCCTTGGCGTTAGAAGAAGTTCTTCCCCCTCCATGAGGCATCAATTATTTCCCAAGCATTCCCAACATTATTTCTCAAGCATTCTCAGACACCCTCTGATGACTACAACAGGCGCTCTAAGGATAGTTGGAGGATGACAGGGGACTCAACGTCTCCCCCCAGCCCCTGGCCCTGCTGCAGGACGAGACTGGAATGCAGAAGTGGATTGGACACATAGATCAGGTATGGGACGCTGGACCCGGTTTCCAGCAGGAGTTGGATAGGACACATAGATCAGGTATGGGATGCTGGACCCCGTTTCCAGCACAGTAGCGTCACTTTCATTGATGGAAAAAAACTTCCTGATTAAAAAACATCAACAAAAAAGAAGATTTCAGCTGCTTTCTGTGCAGCTCATTTCAGCCTGTTGTCTATTGTTTCAGCCTTTTTCAAACACATGCTATTGCAGAGTGCAAGACACACTAGGCGCCATGAGGATATTAGGTGGATGGCAGAGGCTAGGGGAGGGAGGGAGACTCCACTGGTGCCCCCTGGTGTTTCTTCCCCCAATACCCGATCCTGCTGCAGGTTTGGTAGGGAAGAGTGGGTTGGATATGGGACCTTGGACCCAGTTTCCAGCACAATGGCGTCACTTTCAAAGATGTACTGTTTTGTAAAGATGTATTTCAGGGACGCTGGACCCGGTTTCCAGCAGGTGTTGCTCCCCACCAATAGATGGAGCGACCCGCCAGGCAAAGCCTCAATCCCGGTGGTTCTCTTACCACCACCAGGATAGAGGCCTTGCACAAGGGCCTTCTTTACAAAAAAAAAAAGGCGTGAGGCATCATTTTGGCAATGGCCAGAAAGTCCCGCTCGTGTTTTTTGGATTGCTATAGCTATGTGACCGGGCGGGGTGGCATTTGAGCAAAATCGGGATCGCAAATTTCACAGGTTTTGCAGCAATACCTCCGGGAGTCCCCTGTGTGGGTATGCCCTTTCTGTATCTGTGCATTGTGCAACATCTCATGATAGTGACATGTAACTGGAGGCTGCGGAATTTGCACGTGCGCTGCTGAGGGCAAAGTCACACTACCACCCCAAATCCGCAAAGTACGCGGATTTCGGAAGGGTCCATTTGAGTTTTTGGGCGTGGTTCAGGTCACACTGCTGTACCTTTTCAGATGGGACAAGGTTGTGGCCGCCTGCATAAATGGGGATGTGGCACTTTGCTGGTCACACAGGAACCATCCACAAATTGTGCAAAAACTTTTGTGAACGAATTTGTGCCAATTTTCGAAGAAAATGCAAAAAAATAAATAGGGCATTTGAGGTCCTTTTTTTTTTTTTTTTTTTTTTTGAGGTCATACCACAAAACGGATTTCACGTCAGCCTAGCTCAGTTGGTAAGGCACGCAAGTGGCATTCAGGAGGTCTTGGGTTCAATCCCCATTGGCCTCATGTACCTTCCTGGGCAAGCTTGGCGCCCGCCACCTTGAGATATGCCGTTTGTTCCCCCGAGTGGCATTGAGCAGAGACTGCCGATGTTCATAGGGGGAGGGGACCGGAGGGGAGGCACAGTGACTGGCCCATTGGAGGCTTGAGCACGGATGTGGCTGCTACGGGTTCCCCGTAATACTATAATGACAATAAAAAAGGCCTGAAAGGCCGTCCTGTCCAGATTTGACAGGTAATTGAATTGGTTGGGCTTCAAGAATTAGCCTTATAAATTAAAAAAAAAAAAAAAAAAAAAAAGTACAAAACGACCAAATCTAATAGGTTATTCTCCTGTGTTTCAGTACCCTTAGATTCTCAATACATCAACGGCAGAGCTCCGTCCCACCATGCCACATGTGATAGAAAGCTCAGCGTTGAGAAAACTGAACTTCGGCGGTGGGACTTCACTCCAGGCGCCAGGTCCCACTGGCAGCGTTGAGTTTCCTCAACGCCTGAATCTGGACGCGTTCCTGGCGATGTGCGGTTGAGAACACTCCACGCCATTTCTGCACATGTCCACAGACACGTCCAGATTCAGGCGTTGAGGAAACTCAACGCTGCTAGTGGGACCTGGCCCCACAGGTGACGGGAACTTTCCTCGCCGCGCGGCTTCGCAGGCCGCTCGCTGACAAAGGGGCACAGCAATAATACATTTGGTACTTCGGCAAATCTGTGTGATAGGCCCTCTACTCTTTCTTTTGGGTAATTTGGGATTTCAGGTCCCTGTGTGATCATGCCCTTACTGTCGCCAGTTCTGTACTCCCTCCTATTCGAACAGACGCACGCGAGCGTGAGCGCAGCAAAAACACTCGCCCGTTCTGGTCACACATCATCGTCAAACAGCATCGTCAAACAGCATCGCTTCGTTCCTCCGATTGCAACATCCCCCCGTCTACTATGCTTGTCCCTCCCTGTCAATACGCATGTCACATATGCTTACTTGCACCCAAGCCGTGAAAAATCTCCTGTGCGTAACAACCATTGAAATCATACATGCAGAATTGACGAATGATCGCCTTTCTCGAATAGAAGCAGGTGAGTACTACAACGTTGAACGGAAAAAAATCAGTCTATATGGGCATGTAGTACCGAACGGCCAAACTTCAGGCGCCCAAAACCAAAAAGGTTTTTTTCCACCAATCATTCCCGCACAGTTCCCCTAGACATCTACAGGCAAACACACAGTTACACACTTAGCCATTCTTCTCACACACAGCCTCGCACTCCGCAATTTCCACATCCCCCCACTCTACGATGCCTATCTTCATCAGTGATCATGCCACGTATCTCATTTCGCAACCAAACAGCGAGACAATCTCCGATGCATAGCAACGAGTCAAATCCAACGTGCAATTTTGACGCTCCTATTCGGATCTTCAGCGGAATTTTCAGCGCATCTTCAGCGCGTCCACCCCGACCTTCTTGGACAAACCACAAGTTGCATTTCCCAAAGCATTAAGAACAATAAAAAGATATAGACTGCCAACATGACGAAAAAAATAAGCGTGGTACCCTTCCGGCCTTCCCCACCGAACCTCTCTACTGGGCCTGGGCGCAGTAGATTTTGGTCCGGCACTTGTAGACAAGAAAAAATTAAGGAAAAAGTCGTGTAAGTCCTCCCCCCGACGATACCTTTGTATCCATTTCCCCCGAACCGGAGAAAAAGGTGCCGCAGGCCCCAACATCAACATCAGGATATGGATACAAAGGTTTGGTCGCTGGGAGGTTTTACGACTCTTCAGAAAAACTAAACAGTGCAGGGGCCGTTGGAGTGGTGGTTTGACACGAAAGCACAGAGTTCGACCTGGCAATACGACACGCGTTCGTGACGTCAACACAAGCTTATCCTCACAAGACCACTCGAAATTCCGTAGTCAAATGAACCAAAAAAACAAGCATCTTCAAAATAATACNAATAAAGGGAAGCCTTCCAAGGTTTCCAACGAGTTCAGTTCTTAATAAAAGTAGATGGCAGCTCAATCGCCGTCCTTCGTAGACCCCCTCACCCCCCGCTAAACCCTCAACTGCGCAACCAACGACTTCCCTTCATTAAACCTACCATCAAACTCTGTCTTCACCACTACTGTGCGGAACAACAACTACGCGTTCCGCACGCCGCCGATTACCACGAAAACGACAGACACTCACTTCGACTAAGGTTCAGTTAATCACTTGTGCCGCTGAAACAGCACTGCTACATACATGACGACAGAATGGAAATACCGTGCAAAAAACGGCAGTGAGGATCGACCATCTACGGCACAACTGTTACACGCTGACGGGAAGACGACAACCTGCCGGATGAGTGCTCCGAACAACCCCGGGCAAGAAAGCACATTGTGCTTGACGACAACCAAACAAACTTCCGGACGGCAGCACACTGGGAGGGCTTCAGTGTCGTGTTCTCGGACCACCTTCAGTGGATACGGGAGGGCGTGCCTCCCTATCGTTCCTGGCGCATCATCTCTTCGTTGCCTCCCCACTTCAGTGTGCTCCGATGTGTCGCCGCATCATGACCGTCTTCGACTATCCACTCCCACAACCACCCATCCTCACTGCGCACCCATCCTCTCCGCCAACGCATCCCGCAAAATGAGCGAGTCCCCGGTCGACGACTCCATGCAAACAGGACGCAGCGGCGCATGCATGCCCAGATCCACCCTGCATCGGACGCCATCCGGACCGACCTCCCACAACAGGTTGTCGTCGAAGGGAATGCCTGCGTCGATCAGTATGTTGTGGAGGATGCACACCGCGATGAACTGTTGCGGCAACGTGTCCATGTTGCACTTGTGCGTGCGCAGGAATAACCTCCACATGCCCTTCAATCTTCCAAACGCCCTCTCTACCGCTCCCCTGGCCGTCTTTTGCTTGTTGTCGAACCGTGCCTCCGTGGGATGCTGCGCGAGACCTCCATACGGGACGACAATCCATTCCGACTGGGGATAGCCGTTGTCGCCGAGCAAGTATCCATTTGTTCGGACACCGAACGGCAGCATGACATGCGGGCCAGTGAAAAGTTGTCCAGACTCCACGCGCTCCCACAAACTGGACAGATGTAACATCCCCATGTCATGCACGCTGCCAGGGTAACCGACGAAGACGTCCAGCACACGCAAATTCATGTCGACGACAACCTGCGCCTGCACACAGAATCGCCTCTTCCGATCACAATAATCCTCCCCGTTCGCGTTGGCGGGTTTGTCCACGTAGATGTGGGTGCAGTCGATGCACCCGTGGCAATTTGGAAATCCCTTGTCTGCAAACGCGCGCAACACGACCGCCTTCTGCACGCCAGTGGGCCACGAAATCTTGTCCAGGTACGCAGCAAGCAAGGCAGCGGTAACGTCTCGGACCGCCGTGATGCCAGAAGCCCTCCTGATGCCGAAGCTGCACGTTCCGCTGTCGTAGGTCTCACCCGACGCCCACCTATAGAGAGCGTACACCACGATGTGATCCGGCTGCAAAGGCACTCTGTAAAACGTCACACGCCATTGCAGGTATGGAGAAAGCGTTTCCGCGATTTCGCAGAAGACATGTGGCGACATTCGGAGCTTGTCTCTGAAGTAGTCGTTGGCGGCGTCGTCGCTTTGGCACAGGTCCTCCCATGTTCCTCCCGTCCGCCGCTTCATCCACCATCTTGGAGTCGCCCTCGGAAAGGCGCCGCACCCCAACGCGCAGCACACCTGGAGGACGGTGTCCGAAAGTGCTCCCAGGTCCAAGCCCTCACCGCTGCTCGCCAGTGCCGTCACCTTCTGTCGCGTGCGAGCAGCTGCTTTCATCTTTCCCGCGGTTCTCTCCAACTGACAACGATAGAGGACGACATTCACCGCTGCAGCGATAGCCGTCCTCTCATCTATCGTTAAAGCACGACCCCTGACAACGCCGTCAATAACCATCCCGGCGGCGGGGAAGGACAGATTTTTGTGCATAGCACTGTGTGACTGCACAAGGGACAGTTTTTTGTGTAGCGCCCTGTGTGACTGCACAACTCATATTATTGCCTTCGGATCGGAGATCGCGACAGTGTCCTTTCTGTTTTGCGCAACAAGCGGGTGAGCTGTGTGACCCGTTGGAAATTTGCTCCCGTAAAATTTGTGAAAATATGTGCTCGTGTGAGTATGCCCTCCGTTGTCGTCAGAGATTGGGTGGCCCAGGGTGGGGCCGCTGGTGGGGGTCCGGCTAACGCAAATACCGAGCATTTTTCCAGTAGCTGTGCCACCCTTTCTCATCGTCCCCCACCCGTCATCAAGTAGCAGCAGAGACTATACCCAAGTTGAACACTCTCCCACACACCACACACAACCAACTCGCGCTCGCACTCACGCCCGTGTTGGTCATTGACCACCCAAATACCGATCAGGGGTATCCAGAGGACTATGATTTACCTCATTTGAGAGGCTGTATGCTTGCAGGGTTCCCCTCTATGTAGTCTTTTTTTTTTTTTTTTAACCAACCTGCTCCATCTATTGGTGGGGAGCAACACCTGCTGGAAACCGGGTCCAGCATTGGGTTGAGCTGTGCCTCTTCACCACAATAGGGCGCCAGATCAAACAACATCATTCTAGCACTATTCCCCTGTATATAGTCGTAGGAGTAGTGGTACGAAGGTTCTGACAGGCAAAAGGAATTTGAGAGACGAACATAGTGTAGGGGTCCCCTGTATAGCCTTAGGAGTAGTGGTAGGTAGGTTCTGAAAAGAAAGATATGTTCCATGATGACATGGCAGAAAGCCAGTTAAAAGATATGTCACGTGAGAAAAATGTATGGCTGTATCATCTATGAATTTATTTTTTCATCGGAAGGGACACTGGGCCTGGTTCCCAATCTGTACAAATAAATATCATGATGTATTCAAGGGATGCTGGACCCGGTTTCCAGCAGGTGCTGCTCCCCACCAATAGACGGAGCCTGTCTTAAAAAAAAAAAAAAAAAAAAAAAAAAAAAAAAAAAAAAACGCTGTTATTACCAATTTGAAAGTGAATGGTGCGAGACGTGCGCCGTAACAAGTCTCTCTGTAAGCACATAGGCCACCAAAGAGTGGCACAGGTGACGAAGGTATAGAAAGCGCCTTCTCCAGTCCTTCAGGCAGGAGAACCTTCCACTGCAGTAAAACACAGTCGATCGCAGTCTTAACAGCCATCCGATCACAGATTATCCGGCATGAACGGCCATGATCTTGAATCTTGATGCTCCGGCCCGTTGCAGTGGAATGGAACAAAGCCGCACCAATCGAACTCCACTGATCGACAACCAAGAAATTATCGTCTGACTTACAGCCTAATGAGGTGCAGAATTTACGATACGCACTATTCAGATTCTGCTGAGCAGTCGCTGAGGACCATAGCAATAAATATATACATACTAATACTTATGGTGTGTTTGACGATGCATATCATAACAATCCAACCTCAATTCCGAAATTACTGAGGGCTAAGGAGTTTCACAGCTCAGAAATTGACACTCCACTCGCCTAGAAGTACTCCTTCAACAGAGGCAATTCAGACTCTGCGGATAGGAACACCGAAAATGGACGCTGAGTTTGACCCCGCGGTCATCTCCGCGGGGGATTCATAGGCTGCAGCCAGCGAATCCTTGACGCATGATGGGCCTGGATCAAACGTGCGCACCGTCAACCCGCGCTAATGTGAGAAGAGCACACAGTTTCCAAGTCTTTTAGACATTTATATTGTCCGAGCCGTGGTATGGGAGGAGGTGAGGCCGTGTTCTGCGTGGTAGAAAGTGATTCCAAGAAAAGTGTGAGTGCTAACGACAACGACTGCGGTCCTCTGCGTTGCTTGTTTTGGTGGAAAGTCCGTAATTTTACCACCACTTCGGCGTTATGGAGGGATTTTACCATGATTTTACCGCCACAAAATGGAAGATGATTCGAATTGAGGTTGGCCACCATCCACGGGATGCTTCGCCCGCTGACAGCCGATAAGAACAGCGGGGCAAGCAAGCATAAAGACGTTCAGGTTTCTGGATTTTCCCGCCCCCGACTCCTCGCACACTGTCAGTGGTCTTGCATTGCCCCTTCCGCCCCCAGGCGAGTTTCCTACCCGCTTGTGCTGCCCTTCCGCCCTGCTCCGCAGTTTCTCCCCACGTTCTCGCATGCGAACGGTCTTGCCCTCCGCAAGATTAGTCAGACCCTCCGCAAGGATAGAAGAAAATTTTGCGGCCCTCCGCGCGGTTTCAGGGCTTGAACGAGCACATGTATGCGGGCAGGTGCAAAGAACTATGCTCCCAGCTCTTTTTCTACCAGGGTTTGAACAACCACATGCATGCGGGCATGTGCAAACAACCGTGCAGACAACTCTTTTTTTGCCTCTCAGCACATCTAAACGTGGATTCGAGTACTTGAACGATCGGAGCGGTACCACTGTGGCCGCTGTCACAGCCTGTCAGGCGAACCTATGTATCACCCGCAGTCATGCCGCATGCCATTTTACCGCATGCCGTCATGGTCATGCTCGCGGGGGCGAACCGACGGGGCCGGGAGCGCCCAAAAACCCTGTGATTTTTAATTCCTTGATTACTAGGCCAAAAAAAAATAAAAAAAAAATGGGGTTGTAGGGTTTGAAATTCCCTAAATCCCCCCCTTTTTTTTTTTGGGATTTTGATGTCTTTTATGATTTAAAAAAAAAATAGAAAACGAAAAAAACAACTATTACAATCAAAAGAAACACAATTAAAAAAATGGAACTTTTTTTTTTCATTTTTTTCTGATTGCTGGTATGTGTGTGTGTGTGTGTGTGTGTGTGTGTGTGTATGCGTATGTGTGTGTGTGTGTGTGTGTGTGTGTGTGT